ACATAGAGTAGGTGCCATGCAGAAGCTTCAGCGTAATGGAAGGAAGAGATCCAGGTCTGAGTTCCAGTTCTGCCAGAAGGTTATCTTGGACCTAGGCAATGCTCTCACTTTTCTCCAAGTCTATCTTCTTTTCTGCTAGTGAGGACTCCATTTGTCTCTCAATGTGGTGAAGAAACCCAATGGAAAATGAGGAGAGAGCAAGGGAAGGGGTGACATTGTCCAAAAAGAAATGTACAGTACTCATTACCTGACTTATGTAACTGTAACCTCTCTGTATATCACTTTATAATAACAACTTTACTTTTTTTTTTTAAAAAGAAACCTTATGGAATAAGAAAAGGGATTGGAAACTGGGGTCATATGTCATGCCTATAAAGCCAAGGTTCTCCAGTGTGGCAGCCTCTGAGGTCACATCAGCAGTGGGGCCTAAAGTACACGAGCTCAAAGGCCCCTTTCCTCCTGAAGAACTGCAAGACCTTGGAAATCCTCTTACAGGATTCATCTTCAGTATCTTGAGACATCCCAGCAAATGTAAGGTACATGTTCAGAACCCCACTAGATCTCTGTCCCATACCACATCTATCCCAGGCTATGTTGTTGCCCAGATGTGTTCTTTTCCACAGGTTGCTCATTCTGTTGTTGTCACCAATCTGTCCCCAGGCTACAGGGCTCCCTATGACCAATGCCTGCATTGTTATTTCTGGGCCACTACTGCCAACGTTCATGGCCACTTGACCTTCACCTCCTTCCTCCTGGGTTTTCCCCCAGTTCCCTTGGCCCAGGGACTCTCACGGCAGAGCCACTGTGGTCCTGGTATAAGAGTTCTTGCTGCTCACTTTACATGCCTTTTCTCAGAATATCTAATAGGTTGTTGGGTTTTTTAAATTTTTATTAGCATATACCAATTGTACAACATGAGTTTCATGATGACATTTAGAGGTGGAAGGACATGGGTACTGGTTTGTTCTATTCCAATGGAAACCCAGATCAAAACCCAGATGCCCTCAGTAGATGAATGGATCAAGAAAATGTGGTATATATACACAATGGAATTCTATGCCTCCATCAGAAAGAATGACATTGCCCCATTTGTTAGGAAATGGAAAGACTTGGAAATAATTACATTAAGTGAAGTAAGCCAGGCCCAAAGAAACATAGGTCCCATGGTTTCCCTTATTTGCAATAACTTGTATATGTATAGGACAAGCAGAATAGGTCAAAAGCTATATACATATGACCATATAAGATGATGCGAAGTGAAATGAACCCCAAGATAGAGACACATGTGGTTTTATCTTTCTTGCTGTGGTTTTTAATATATTTATAATGTACCATGTGATTTTTTTTGTTCCTTTTGTATGTTCTTCCACCATGGTATAATCCCTGTTTTCACTGTATTTGATTCTGGTGCCCTGAATCTTGAATATACATTTTTCTAATTCGGGGAGAAGAATGGAAATAACATGCTGAAATAAGGATATAGGTTGACCCATTGTAACAATGAGATGTCCAAGACACAATGTTGAAAACGAACTTTACAACTTCGATGAGGAGGGGGGTGGGAGGAGTTGGGGAGGTAGGGGAAGGGATGGTAGGGGAAAAACAAAGGAGGAGGTAACAACTCTCCATAGAAATGTACTCATTACCTTACTGAAGTAACTGTAACCCCTCTGAACAGTATTTTTACAATTAAAAATATATACAAAAAAAAAGTCAGTGTGACAAGCCTTGAGTGTGCTCAAGCTACAAAGAAAATATAAAAACATGGAGAGGAAAGACCCTAAAAAACAACTTCTCTACTTTCAGAATTTGGCCTTTAAGAGGTTCTTATTATGTCCTGCATGCAGTTATTTCTATTTTTATCTTTCTGTTTTAGTTTTCTGTATCCTATGTCTTGTATACAAGCTTATCTGATTCGTGGAAGGGAAAGAGAACCACAGAAACATCAGGACAAAGGATGAGCTAATGCAACAGTGGTACTCACTAGGCACTATGTTGGAAATGAACTTTATAATCTGGTGGGGGGGAAAGAGTGGGGAGTGGTAAGTGGGAGAAAATGAGGCAGGGGATAACAGTGTTTAAAAAGAAATGTACTCATTACCTCACTTATGTAACTGTAACCCCCTGTTCATCACCATTACAATAAATTTTTAAATAAATATTAAAAAATAAATGAAAGTGAAAGAGGCAGAAGACATTAACTTTTCTGTGCATGCCACAGTGAACTACAGTGATTCCTAGGACTTCCAAGCAAGTCTGTTACAAGGACCCTTGGCTATTCACCCTGACTATTCCAAATCATTCGTTCTGCTTCAGGCTTGTTGCCAACTTGAGTTCAAGTCCCCAAACTGATGAAAGTGAAAAGGGTGGTTTTGAGATAAGGAGATAAAGGAAGAGCTGAGGTCATCATCATCACCAGGGCCAAAGCAAGGACCCAGAGGATAGAATTGGAGGCCTGAGTATTGTGTAGAGACCATCCCTGGGCAGAGGTCAGTATATGAGGGAGGGATGTCTGAGTCCTTTGTCTCAAGGTCCTGGGGCCCCTGCTGAGCTTGGCTTTTGGTAACTGCCATTTCAGCAGTGTTGGATGCCAAGGAGAGAGAGGCCAAGGTGCAGATGAGACTCACTTTGGTTCAAGTTATACATTTGTATTAATAAACACAAAGCATTTAACTTTTACTGTCTACCAGGAATGTTCTAGGAGCTTCCTAAGTATTAACCATTTAATCCTCATCACATCTCTGAGAATTGAATGTGACTGTGCACCATTTGACAAGCAAAGAACCTGAGGGATCATAAAGGTGAAGTCACCACTGAAGACCATGCAGCTGATGGGACAGACCGGCATTGAAATGGACGCAGTGTGGATCCCGGGTCAGTGCTCTTAGGTTCACGGATGAAGAAGCCAGACTGTGCTTGTCCTTGAAGCCTTTCTTTAGAATTCCTTCTCTGCATGACCCCAATAGATCTACTTCCTTGCCCTTTGGGATGGTGAATACAGTTGAGAGGCAGGGAAAGAGCCTTTGAAGAAACATTTCCTCAATCCACAGAGCTCTGGGAATAACCTCATCACCAGTCCTGGAAGAGGTGGGAAAGAGTGGACGGGGAAAAGATAAGTTTTAGCAGCCACAAAATGACAAGATTTCTCATATCTGTTGGGAAAGGCTCAGAGCTTCTGTCCTCTGCTTTGATTCCTGAAAGTTCACAAAGCTTCCTCACTCATTTTGACTCTGCCCTGTCATGGAGTTCCATAAAGGTCCCCTTTCTCTCTATAAAAGTTGTACTGTTTTTTTAATGGGTTGTTGAAAACTGTCTTGAATTTATTATAAATAAGGACAAATGCATTTAAAATGAAACCAAAACAAGGCATGGCAATAATGCCTATAATCCAAGCACCCAGGAGGTTGAGACAAAAGGAGGGAAAGTTCAAGGCCAAACTGGACTATATAGCTAGTACAAGGCCAGGTTGAACTTCATAATTTGGCTCTCTTTCAAAAAAATAACAAGTAGGGGCTAGAGGTAAAACTCAAAGGTATTACATTTGTCTAGCAGCTGCAAGGCCTTTAGCTCATTCCCCAACACTGCAAAAAGGTAAACATACAAACAAACATATAAGTAGATGGGAATAGGCCATGTACCTTAACCCTCAGGCTAGTTGAGAATCCATACACTGGGTCTGTTTGCCTCTTGGAAGCAAATCCTTTCTGAGCTCATAAGAACCCAAAAGCTCTAGAAACATTTACTGGACACTGCCTTGGAATTGGTGTTGCATGGTGCTCTGTGACACAGCTGAGTACAGGGATAATGCTGGTCTTACCTTCTCCACTTCCATCACAGAGAGTCATGCTATGCAGGAGCAACCCTCACTGCAGCATAGCCAAACACCTGTTCTAGAAGCCATGATAGGAAGACATTTCCAACTAACCAAAGTTTTCAGAGCCCCCAAATTCCTCTTTTTGGAACTTCCTGTAAGCATTATGCCCACCTTTAGTCCCCAGCTCCACCCAGACCTGAGCTCCTGCCTTACAGCTGGCCCCTCCCTCTCTCCACCAGATCCACCTGAGCTCCCATCTACCTCACTTCCTATCCCCAGACCCTGCTGCTACCTAGATAGCGGAGGCTGCCCTGTGCTCTCTCTTATGGCTCCTCTAATAAACCTTGTAATAATCCTGTGCCTGCCTGCCTCCGCATGGTCCCCTGGCATGGATGTGATGGAGCCTTTCACTTCCATCTTTAGTGATATCCCCTGATTCCTTGAAATCTAATGCCTCTGTGCCAACCCTCCTCCTGCCCCACCCTGTCACCAGCCGGGTATGACTGTCCCTAAGTAGCTTGGACTTCACAGAGTACAGAATGTGCAGCTGAAAAAAGCCAGGCGCTGGTGGCTCACGCCTGTAATCCTACCTACTCAGGAGGCTGAGATCTGAGGATCGCGGTTCAAAGCCAGCCCGGGCAGGAGAGACCGTGAGACTCCTATCTCCAATAAACCACCAGAAAACCGGAAGTGGTGCTGTGGCTCAAGTGGTAGAGCGCTTGCCTTGAGCTGAAGAGCTGAGGGACAGCGCCTAGGCCCAGAGTTCAAGCCCCACGACCGACAAAAAAAAAAAAAAAAGAATGTGCAGCTGAAGAAGATTCAGAGGCTCCCAAAGGAAGGGTTGGTGGCATCTTTCACAGTGGACTGTCACCAGCTCAAGAACATAACTGTAGTTGTCACTAACTTCCTCAAGGGGTGCAGAAAGAGAGGTCACTGGCTTTTTTTCTGGATCAAACTAGCTCAGAGAAGGAGGGACAAATATTCATACCAAAGCAAAAGTAAGGCTGAACGCAGTGCCTTGTGTGGGAGAACTAATGGGAAACAGCTTACTGGAGGGAGGGGGACAGAATTCAGGAATGGCCAGGGCAGGGCTGCTGAAGAGGGGGCTGGGAGAAACTGGCTGATTGAAACCAGCTGTTACTACTCAGTCTCCAAGATCTTTGGACTCTGCCCTGGGGCGGGCTCACACCCTATCCGAGGAGCCTGCATCGGTTGTCTGCAAAAGCCCAAGACTCTTCAGCCCACTGTGGCTCTCTGAGCCCATCAGAACAAAAGAAGAAAGGGAGCCGCCTCCTTCCTGTTACTAGTCCTGACCACTGTCTGCTCCTGCCTAGGAAAGTCCTAGAGGAAGAGGCCAAAGAAACAGCCTTGCCCTCGCTCTCCAAAGCCACCTAACCCTATCCACTCAGCATCAGCCTCTGGAGATCCCATGGCCCTGGCTCACTGGGGCTGCTGCCCCTGGCTTATCCTCCTCTGTGGTATGTACATCCTGATCGGTTCTAGAGACCAGCTCTGGCCTCTTCCTCCGGGGCTCATCAAGGGTTGGAGTGAGGGCTAGGACCCTGGTTGTCTCTCTTTCTTGAGGTTACCTTCTCTGTCTTGGGATGCAGCCCCATTAGGGCCAATCTTCATTCTGAGCCTTTATGACATGAGCTGAATCTTTGGTGGAGTCCTTCTATTCCTCCAGTTAGTGATAAAAAATATTTTGGTATTTGTTTGTAGAGTGATAAAGGCTTTATTAGAGATAACAGGGCCTTGAAGCATCAAGAACAGGTGGGGCTCATTTTGGAACCTTTCAGAGCACCCTAGGGATGAATATCTAAACCAGAACAGAATGAGGAGCCTGGAACATGGCAAGTGAGTGTGAGGACTCATCCAGAGTATGGAGTTTCCTGCTAAACTGATTTGACAGAGTTCCCACTGAGCTGGAGCGGGAAAGTCAGATATCTAGGGTGGAGGACGGGGCTTGTGATCAGATGGTGGGAGGAATCATTTGGATATTTAAGGCGGAGGTAGTGTTTAAACTGTGATGCAGGCCTATAGGGGCAAGAGTGACTCTGAAGGCCAAGGTCAAGATCTTGTTAAGAAAAGGGTGGAGGAGCCTATCTCGAGTTCCATCAAAAAGAGTCTTTGAGAAGTGAATAATCATTCATACCTCTTAGAGTCTAATTATTTCAAGTACTAAATGAGATAGAGTTGTGTGTCACTTAGCAATGGGGTCACATTCTGTGAAACATTATGAGGCAAATCATTGTCATACAAACATGGAGTGGACTTCTGCAAACTAAAATGGCTGTGATGTCATTAGGTTGGTCATGTTGGGACCATTGTCCTATATTCTGACCTTTGTTGACCATAATGTTGGTATGTGCCATATGCATCAATAGTTAAATTGCTGACTTCAGTGTTTTGCATGTAGTAGGAGCTCTTTAAATGCTAATTCACCTTTCCTCACTCACCAGATGATGTCAGAGTAGGATTTCTGTCTTATATTTATTTTATTTATTTTTTTTGGGGGGGGGTCCAGTCATGGGGCCTGAACTCTGGGCCTGGGCGCTGTCCCTCAGCTCTTCAGCTCAAGGCTAGCGCTCTACCACTTGACTCACAGCACCACTTCTGGCTTTTTTCTTTTTGCTTATGTGGTGCTGAGCAATCGAACCCAGGACCTCATGCATGCAAAGCAAGCACTCTACCACTGAGCACCTTCCCAGCCCTTATGTCTTATATTTAAAATCAACCTAGACCCAGGCACCCAGGTAGCTGATGCCTGTAATCTTAGCTACTCAGGAGACTAAGATCTAAGGATTATGGTTTGAAACCAGCAGGGAAAGGAAGTCTGTGAGATTCATCTCCAGTTAACTACCCAAAAAAGGTGGGAGTGGAGTTGTGGCTTATAGGTTAGAGCACCAGTGTTGAGCAAAGAAGCTAAGGGATAGCATCCAGGCCCAGAGTTTAAGCCCTCGTACTGCAACAAAATAATTTTTAATAAAATAAAATAAACCTATAGCCAGGCAGTGGAAGGTCACATCTGTAACCCTAGCTACTCAGGAGGCCGAGATCTGAGGATTGTGGTTCAAACCCAGCCCAAGTAAGAAAGTCTGTAAGACTCTTATCTCCAATTAACCACCAGAAAGCCAGAGGTGGAGCTTTGGTAGAGTGATATTAGCCTTGAGTTGTAACACTCAGGGACAATGCTCAAGTCCTGAGTTCAAGGCACATGAGCAACAAAAAATAAAAATTAAAATATTTTAAAAATAAAAAATAAACCTAGAATGATATGGGGAGATTCGGATTGTAAGAAATGGCAATATGAGCCTTGAGTTTCGGTAAACCATGTGTGTGTGTGGGGGGGGTGTGGGTGTACATATATAAATATATATTATATATACATATATACTTACGATTATAGAAGACTAAGATTAAAGTGGGGGTAGATATTTAGTGAGATCCTATAGAATATTTCAAAGAAAATTTGATTTTAAAAATTTAATTTACACCCAACATTTCCACTTCCCTGAAAAGACCCACTTAGATTAGAGGAAAAATGAATTGATGTAATGAGCATCAAACCCCCCCAAAAGTCACAATCACTTGTTGATGAAACTAGTTTCTTTGATTGTGACTCAAGGTGCCATCCAATTCAGCCTGATATCCCATGAAATGTGATTATTTTTATCCTCAAGTAGAATTGGCCAGCATGGTGTCTTTCAAAGGATGGAGGTTCTGCAAGGTGAAGGAGGGGAATGAAGGAGAATGTCTCTGCATTCTGAGAATTCTCTGGTAACTAAATAACTTTGGATTTTTCTCTTGGCTTCTAGCTTATGCCTGGAGTCACCCAAAGCCTGTGAACCTTGGAAGAAAGGATGTGAGAAACTGTTCAACCAACCCTCCGGTGAGGACTTGGCCCCATCCCTATATGACCCCACCCTATGGTCTTCTCCCATTGACTCAGTTGCTAGCACTTCCAACTACACTCTCTCTTGATTTCACACTGGAAACCCCTGTCATGCGCATCCATCAGAGCAGTCTGTAGGGATTCAGGTGCCCAACATACAACCTTCAGCTCTCTATGGATGTCTGGTCTTTCTTCCACTCTTCCTAACAGCATGCTGTTAACTTCTACACTGGCCTGGGCCTGGGAAACACCCAGTCAGAGGGAGGGAGAAAGAAAGGGGTGGGGAGGCCCCAAATTTCCTTTGATGTAGCTAAGCAGAGGCAAGGAGGAGGATGGGAGAAAAGAAACTAGAAATTCTAGAAAAATAGCTAAGAGGGAAGCACAGGGGAGAGGAGGGAGGAAGTCAAGGGACTAGAAGAGCCAGCAGAAGGGCCAGAGGAAAAACATAGGGTGTGAAAGCCAGAAAGCCTGAAGACTGGAGCCAGCTGAATAGATTAGGTGGCCAGCTTCCTAGCTGAGGACTCAGTAATTCTTTGTATAGCTAAACTGGATCTAAAGAAGGAAGGGGTAGGTGAGGAAGTGTGATGAGTGGGCAAGTGTATAATACTCTAAACCACTTAATAGATGGCTAGGCAAACCACCTTACTTTTTAAAAATTAGTTTACATTAGTTATAGGGCGATGGATTTCATTGTCACATCACTTTCCCTGATCCCTTATCCTTTTCCCAAAACAATTTCAACAGGTTTCATTATTCTGGTTCATAGTTGCTAATAATCTATTTCAGCCTCATTCAGCCTCTTTCATCCTCCTTATTAGTCCCTTCCTGCTAGTACCCCCTCTTGGTACAGAGAAAACCAATTTCTCTTTCCCTATCCACTCCAACCCCTCACTACCATAACTTTTATATTAATACAAATCTAGATATATTGTTGAGTATAAAGCCAAACATTACAAACCAAAAACATAGTTTTCATTTTATAAAGATTGTCTTTTAAAGAAATATCTGTCTTGGAGAGGACAAATTATCTGGACAGCTCCTGAGGGTGTTGAGGAGGGGGTATTCATGCACTTTCCTCTGTCATTTGGGACCAATGGTGACAACCTGAGAAAAAGCCCCAAAGAGGTTTCTAGACAAAATACTACACACTAGGTTGATTACATTTGAATTTCTGACAACAAATAATATTATATTTTAAGAGGGTCCCAAATATACTGGTGGCTCATGCCTGTAAGCCTAGCTACTCAGCAAGCTGAGATCTGAGGATGGCCATTTAAAGCCAGCCTAAGCAGGAAAGTTGGTGAGACTCTTATCTCTAATAAACTACTCAGAAAAAGCCAAAAGTAGCATGGTGGCTCAAGTGGCAGAGCACTAGCCATCAGCACAATGAGGCTCAGGGGCAGCGGCCAGTCCGATAGTTCAAACCCCAGGACCAGTCTCTCCCCCCGCCCCCCCCCGCTAAAAAAAGAATCTCAAATACTACATGAGGCATATTTATATTAAAAGACTATTCATTATTAATTTGAAAGTTAAATGTAGCTGAGTAGCATCCTGTATTTTTATGGGTTAACTGTACCCCCAAGGTATCCAGAGAGAGACTGTCTTCATGACCTGGCCCAGGAACAGAGTTCAGATTCCTATAGTTCTCACCCACACTCCCATCCCACACTCGGATCCCATTACTGATACAGAGATTCTTCCCCAAACTCTACCCCTCGCCCTTTGGATTTAGCCCAGGCATCTTGACTGTAGACTAAGCAATAACATCAGCTGCCATTCCACCTTTCATTATAAAAGGCTGACTCCTCTGGAGGTAGGGGCCTATGTCTCACTTTGTCTAAACAATGTATGTGCATTTGAGTGTTTTCCTATCATCTGTTAGCACCTTCCAGTTACTGTGGTCAATACTACAGCACGACTCACAGCCCTCCGCCAGCAGATACAGGCCTGGAACCTCTCTGCCTACATCATCCCAGACACGGATGCACACATGGTAAGCAACTGTTTCTCTTCCTCTTGTCCTATGTGCTACCCTGGGTCAACCACTAGCCATAGGCTACAAACAGAAGGCAGTTCTGACTCAGAAAATGAAAGCAAAGAAAGCATTTGACAATCAAAGGGACCAAAATGGAAACCTTGCATGTGGTAGTTTGTTTTTGTTTGACAGTAGTAGAGTTTCAACTGTTATTTTTGACTTGTTACAAAAGTACTCTACTATTTTTTTTTGGGTCCAGTCATGGGGCCTGAACTCTGGGCCTAGGTGCTGTCCCTCAGCTCTTCAGCTCAAGGCTAACACTCTACCACTTGAGCCACGGTGCCACTTCCGGCTTTTTTTTTTGCTTATATGGTGCTGAGGAATAGAACCCAGGGCTTCCTGCATGCAAGGCAAGCGCTCTACCACTGAGCCACCTTCCCAGCCCAGTACTCTACTATTTAAGTCATGCCCTCACCTCTTATTTTTGAGATAGGGTGTTGTGTTTTAGCCCAAGGCCAGCCTCAAACTTCCATTCTCCTACCTATGTTTTCCAGTAGTTGGGTTACAGATGTTTACCACTATGCTCAGCCTGTACGTGATAATTTTTTTCTTTCTTTTTTTTCATGATAGTTTTAATGCAACTTAAAAAACATTCCTTAGCCAGGCACCAGTGGCTCATGCCTGTAATCCTAGCTATTCAGGAGGCTGATATCTGAGTATCATGGTTCAAAGCCAGCTCGGGAAGGAAAGTCCTTGAGACTCTTATCTCCAATAAACTCTTGAAAAAAATCCAGAAGTGGTGCTGTGGCTCAAGTGGTAGAGCTCTAGCCTTGAGCACAGAGAAGCTCATGGACAGAGCCCAGACTGAGTTCAAGCCCCAAGACCGGCAAAAATCAAAAAAACAAAAAAACATATTCCTTTACACAAGAGGGAAGACGCAGCCAAATCTCCTTGACCTTCAGAAGGATATAAAACAACTTCAAAGTTAATTTTTATTGTTATTGTAAAGGTGACATACAGAGGGGTTACAGTTACATAAGTCAGGAAATTAATACATTTCTTTTTTAACAATATCACCTCTTCTCTCAGTTTCCCCCCCCCCCAGTGGCTCCCCCACAAGTTGTGTTGTTCATTTTTAACATAGTGCCTAGTGGGTATCACTGCTACATTGGTTCACCCTTTGTCCTACCATTTCTGTGCTCAGCCTTACCCTATCTGAATTAGTTTTGACTAATTCCTAGGTAGTGGCAGATACAGAAGGTGTGTCTGGGTCATCCCTGCCCTGAGAGGTTAGAAGGGAGGCTGAGAATTTGAGTAGAAGTACTGTAAATTTCCTTTTGACCCCAGCCTTGTTAGAACCAGCTGGATGAAACAGTGAGTTCTGGGGTACACAAGCGTGTACCATATACAATTGAGAAGGGCACACAGTCTAAAAAACACAACAGTCTGAATAAGAACTACTTTCCCCAAAGCAGTGATCTCCCTCAGTAGCCCACCCCTTCCCATCAGTGGCTCTGCCTGCACCCTTTCCACCCATTCTACATCAAATAACAGCCGGCCTGGAAGAACAGGCATTTTCAGTGCCAATAAGGTTTCTTAAATTAACTTTGGACACATATCTGATGGTCTCTGAGACTGTTTTCTTTTTGTTGAGTGTTTCCATTTTTATTTATTTTTTGGTGGTATTGTGCTTCAAACTCAGAGCCTCATACTCACTAGACAGATGCTACCACTGTGCCACACCTCAACTCTCCAGTTTTCTTTTTTGCAAAAGCAAATATCAAGATCTGTCTTCAAGGATTATAAATCAATAAAGTCACCCATGGGAGATTGGCTCCAGAATCCACACAGACACTCAAATGAATGGATGTTGAAGTCCCTTATAAAAATAGTGTAGTATTTGCATATAATATATGCATACCCTTCCATATCCTTTAAATACTTATACCTACTACAATGCAAATTTCTGTAAATGGTTGTCATACAGTATTGTTTAATGAATAATGCCAAGAAAAAGTCTGTACATTTTAGTAGAAACATTTTTGGGTATTTTCAGCCTGTGTTTGATGGATGCTGCTCATAAGGAATCCATGAGTACAGAGGTCCAACTGGCCCAAAGTTTGTGATGCTCTATGCAGAAGTTATTTTCACTGTACCCAATGGGCTATTATAGACTGCAGAGGAAGAAGGGATATCTGAAAGGAAACCTGGAAGTCATGGTCCTGGACTGCCCAGAATTTGCATTCTGGTTAGGGTGGCCAGTGAAGAACAGTCCATTGTAACCCCAAGTCCAGTGTTAGACAGTGGAGTTGAGACTAAAACAGATATAATTATTCAAAGGAAGAGAAGATAGTGCACTGAGGCAGTTACAGAGGTGCCTTGTGGGACTGGTTGCAACTAATGAGACCAAAAAAATGGGGATATAGTTGGAGCCTTCATGTAGGATGTAACTCTATGGCGTCCATTTTCTAGAATGAATACATTGGCAGACATGATGAGAGGCGTGCATGGATGACAGGCTTCACAGGAACTGCAGGTAACAGCCATTACCTGCCACCTTGGCTTCTGTTGGTGGACCAAAGATAGTCACAGAGGACCTAGCATAAATAGTCCCTCAGCAACCAGGACACCAAGATCTATACAGAGGCTCCTCTTATTCTCTCTTTCTCAACCTCCTCTCCCAACCCTGAAATCAGCAGGTTCTCCAGGGCACAAATTTCAAAGTACACTGGCCACATTTCTGTAGAGTGAGGCAGATGACTCTTCTGGCTTACTTCCCATGCTGCTGCCATAGCTAGGCCCAACCCAGCATTCCCTGGGTTCCATTACTGAGATAGTTACTACTTCTATATTTACCCACAAGGGACCCATTCATTCTTTCATATGATAGCTCACTTGGAGATAAGTTTTAATTTACAGGTCTTTTTTATAGATATCACTTCACATGGCCAAATGAGACCCAGATCCAGAAGCTCTTAATAATGCCCCTGTTTCTACCTGTGTCCCAGCCTCTTCAATGGAAGCCAGATTCTTTTGCTGATCCTTAAACATTCCTTCCTGAACTTCAAGCTGCTTGGCCTCACCCACTGTAAACTAAACCTCTGGCTCAGTGTTCTTATTAGCCATCAAGTCTCAACACCAAGTTTTCTCTTTCCTAAGGGCACCCATATGTATTATCAGCTCTTTTCAACTCACAAAAAAGCTACTTCTCCTGCTAAAAGAATGACTTCCTCTACAAGACTACAACACAAAGAGAGAAGTCTCACCAAGATGTTCTACCACCAAGGTCTTGTTCTTAACACATCCTGTCTCTCTTCCATCCAGTGGAGACGATAAACCCTTTCTAGAGGCCCCCTGTAACATCTTCAGAGTCAGTACTCAACTTCACATCCATCAAAGTCACATTCTTCATCATCACCTTCCCCCTCTACTCCAGGTTTCTCTTTTCTGCCCAGGTATTGCTGTGGTGACCATGAGGAAGGCAGGTGTCTGGACTGACAGTCGGTACTGGACTCAGGCAGAGAGACAGATGGACTGCAACTGGGAACTCCATAAAGAAGGTAGAAGGCCCAAATGGATCTGTCCCCCTGAAAGCCATAGAACCCAGATTAGGATTGGGAGGGCAAAGATGAGGGACTATATGCAAGGTTCTGCTGGGTCCATTTGGGAAGCTCCAATAATTTGAATCTGTCTCTGCCCTGTAAGACTGATGGTGGACACATGAAGGACTGTTGCAGACAGAGGCCTGGCTAGAGGAATCTGAGGATGGCATTGGAGGTAACCTTTGCATTTCTTCCTGTCTTTCAGTGAGTTCTAATTCCATTACCACTTGGCTTGCTGCTGAAATTCCTACTGGAGGGCGTGTGGGTGTGGATCCCTTCCTCTTCTCGGTTGGTATGTTCATCCCTGTATTCTTGGACTTGTCCACAGAGTGTCTCAGCCTCCTGGGTAGTAAAAAACATACTTTCTCAAAAGGGGCAATATGACCCTAAAGATATTGTTTTGAGCTGGGTGCTGGTGACTCACACCTGTAATCCTAGCTGCTCAGGAAGCTGAGATAGGAGGATCATGGTTCAAAGCCAGCCTGGGCAGGAAAGTCCATGAGACTCTTATCTCCAATGAACCACCAGAACAAAACAGAAGTAGAGCTGTTGTTCAAAGTGGTAGTGCACTAGTCTTGAGCAAAAATTGCTCAGGAACACTGCTCAGGCTCAGAGTTCAAGCCCCATGACTGACAAAAAAAATACGGTTTTGAAGTTGTGGTTGCAGAATATTTTGCAACAAAGTTATATTGATGGCTGTGTAATTGAGACACATTAAAAAGAATGAATACAATTACTTAAAGATAATAATAATAATAGATCATGATCCCAAGCAGCTGACGATACTCTCAAAGGTAGAATCCTCCTGAATACACCAGGAAAACTTCCAACTTCCAAACTAAATTCTTTATCAACCTACCCAATATCTAAACATCACTATTATTTTAAATAGTGGCATCAAATCATGGTAAAAATGATGAATACACTAAAGAGTGTCAACTCCTACCCATTGACACTTAAAAAGACAAGATTAGCCAGTTGGCAGTAGAGAGCATTGAGGTGGGCTCAGCAATTTAGCGAAAGAAAACACAAAGAGAAGGATGGGAGGGGACTGCATTGCAGCAGCACCACACTTAAGGGGAAGCTTAAGACAACTGGAGCTACAGGAGTGAAGTGGGAGGCAAAGTAAAGCAAACCTAACTTTGCTTGAAACAGTTTTCCTTGACTCTTTCCTATCTCTACAGCTACCTGGATGGTTTATGACCTGGCCCTTCAAAAAGTCAACAGAGAACTGGTATCCATTACCACCAACCTTGTGGACCTGGTGTGGGGCTCTGAGAGGCCACCAGTGCCAAGCGAACCCATTTATGCCCTGCAGGAGGAATTCATAGGTGATTGAGTAAGCCCATCCCTCTTTCCAATCAGTACCACCATGGCTTCCTCATAACAGAGGTCCCCACTGTTGCTCCTTTGGCTGGAAAACTCACCAACAGAGGTCCCAACCAAATGGATTACAAACTTAGCATGTCACTTAAGAGGCTTGGTTAAAATTTTCTTTTGATGATACTAAGATTTGAACTTAGGATCTCACAGTTGCTAGGCAAGCAGCATTTTACCATTTGAGCTATGTTCCTAGCCCTGTGATGCTTGATGAAACTGCAGAATTTTTACCCCCTTTCCACAGAGAATCTGAGTCCTTAGAACTCTGTTTAGAAAATACGAGAATATGGAAGTGGCGCTGTGGCTCAAGTGGTAGAGCACTAGCCTTGAGCTGAAGAGCACAGGGACAGTGCCCAGGCCCAGAGGTCAAGCCCCAGTACCAACAACAACAAAAAAAGAAAATATGAGAATAAGCTGGGTAGTGGTCACTCATGCCTGTAATTCTAGCTACTGAGAAGCTGAGATCTGAGGACTGAGGCTAAAAGCCAGCCCGGGCAGGAAAGTCCTTGAGAATCTTATCTCCCAATAAACCACCAGAAGACTGGAAGTGGTGCTGTGGCTCAAGTGGTAGAGCACTTGCCTTGAGCTGAAGAGTTGAGGGACAGTGCTTAGGCCCAAATTTCAAGGCGCATGATTGACAAAAAATACTGAAATAAATAGTGTTGGGATATGAAACATGAAATATGAGGAAGGGAAGAAATGAGAGTCAAAGAAAGAGAATTGAATAGGAAAGACATGATAGGAATTGCTTGTCTGATAGTGGGAACTGGTTTATGAAATCATTTGGCCCTTTTTACATCTTGTTCTCCTACAATGAGGAATTTAGTTTTATGAGATATCTGGCATGGACAAAAGTGAACAATTAACTTTAGGGTAAGTCTGGCATAAAGGAAGATTTGGGTTTTGGCTGGACCACAAAGAACAGTTAGCTGACCCGGAAAATATAATATCCATAACATTGACCTCAGTAGCACCATCTAACTATCACATAGGATCTGTATGCTTTAGAATTCTGTGTGTGTACGCATGTGTGTGTGTGTGCACACATGCATGCGCGACATTTGTGCGGCTTGAACTCAGTGCCTGGGTGGTGTCCTTGACCTTTTGTGGTAAAGTTTCTCTAGGATTCTCGTAAATAATAAAATCCTGACCAGGACTAGGCTACTGAATGTGAATCAGTATCTTGGTCACTAACCACCCTGCCTTTCTGGGAATTCTGAATAGGCCAATAGGTTTGGATTGTTAGTCACATTGGGCAATCTGAGAGGCCCATTTTTATACACATGCACATTTCTTGCTTGGAAAAAGTAAAAAAAAGCAGGAAGGACATGTCAAAATTGTGGCTATAATGAAACTGGTGAGAATTGTGTCCACTTTTCTTTATGTTTCGATCTTCCACTCTTTGTGCCTCTTGTCATCATTTTTAAAGGAACGTCTTCTCCAAGACTGTTTTATCATAAATACAACTAATCATCTTATTCCCATAAAGATGACATTTATGCCAGGAAAAAGTGTGGAGGAGAGAAAAGAAATATCAATTGAAGAGATTGGTACAGGATTTGCATAGATTTTTTTTTAAAAATCACTTTCCACAAGTAAAGAGATGCTGAATATTGCAGGCTTCCAATCTTCAATGGAAAGCCATCCAGAACCAGAGCTGAGCCTGGAAGCCTACACACAAAATTCAGCTTCAAAAAGCTTAGACAAGAGAGATTTTCGTTCCATCCCCTTGCAATTTTAAAAGCAGCGTAGATGGTAGAGGGAATATAGGGCAGAACATGAAAAGTTAGCTACTCAAAGATAGCTCTATGCCTCTGAACATTTAAGTTTCATTTTTCTCCAAAATGTATTATATTATTGAATCATGAAACATAATTCTAAGTGAGAAAAGCCACTCAGAGAAGGCCACATACTGTATGATTCCATTTATATGAAACATCAAGCATTGGTAAAACCATGAACAGAAAATAGATTAGTCATTTCTGGAAGGAGAGGGCTGGAAGGAGGAGGGAATTGGGCATGACTCTTTAATGGGTATTAGGTTTCCTTTTAGGATGATGAAAATGTCTTAGAATTAGATAGTGGTTATGATTGCAAAACATTGAGATACACTTAAACCAATCAAATTGTGTACTCTAAAGAAGCTGGGCACTGATGATTTATACACTTAATCATAACTACTTAGGAAGCTGAGATCTGAAGAGCACATTCAAAGCCAGCCCATGCAGACAAGTACCTTGAGATTCATCTCCAAAAAGCCAAAGTGGAGCTGTCGCTCAAGTGTTAGAGCACTAGCCTTGAGTGAAAAAGCTAAACAGGAGCATAAGGCCCTGAGTTCAAATCCCAGTACTAACACATTAAAAATTGAGGCTAAAATGATAAACTTTATATTTGTTTTTCCACAATAAAATAACTTCCCCCAAGTATATCATACCCAAACCTTTGGTTCTTGTTGAATACATTTACCTGTTTGCACAAAGTTCTTAATGGCATTAACTTATCATTTATGCTATCTGGGCCCAAGTAGGATCCTTAATGTTTATGACTCTTTTTTTGCAAGTACTGGGGCTTGAACTCTGGGCCTGGCCACTGTCCCTGAGCTTCTTTTTGCTCAAGGCTAGCACTCTACCACTTCTAGCTTTTTGTGTTTATATGGTACTGAGGAATCGAACCCAGGGCTTCATGCATGCTAGGTAAGCACTCTACCACTAAGCCAAATTTCCGGCCCATGTTTATGACTTTCCAAAAAAAAAAAAAAAACAACTTTCCTAGTCCCACCGTGGGAAACTATACCTTGCAGGGTGGCATGGAAAGAAGCCCTAGAACTCTCATACAAGCATCCCAGGAAGGATTGCACTGTGATACATAATTTAGGGATAGCTTAACAGGTTAGAAATACTAGCAAGACAATACACTGTTTGTACAGATGAGGAATATGGGGCATGTAGTCACACAGCCTTGGGTTCAAATCCCAGTTTTACCACTTAAACACATAAAACAAGTCACTTTATGTCTCTAAAGCCTCAGTTTTCTTATCTAAAAATGGGGTAAGAGGAAGTGGCGCTGTAGCTCAAGTGGTAGAGCGCTAGCCTTGAGCTGAAGAGCTGAGGGACAGCGCCCAGGCCCAGAGTTCAAGCCCCATGACCGACAAAAAAAAAAAAAGAAATTCTAAAAATGGGGTAAGAATGAAAACAATGTACATGAAGTGCTTAGCCCAATACTAGTGACCTCTTAAATCCTAGAGTTACTTCAGGGGAGCATCCAGTATGGCCCCAGGCCTCTCCCTTTGCTCTTCAACTAGGCTGGTTCTCCTGTTTTCTTTTGCATGTTTATCCATCAGACTTACTAAATGTCAAGACACCTTTCTATATGCTTAGTCATAGCAACTCATCCCCATTTTACAAAGGTGCAAAATAAGACATGGAGAATTAAGTGATTCACCCAATGTCACCCAACTAGTAAAGGAAAAACTAAAATCTGAGTCCAGTCTAGGCCCAGAGTCTATGTCATCACTGAGTATACAGCAAGTTTGTTTGAACTAAGGTTCTACTTTTTGCTTTTTTAAAACAAAATGAAGGGTTAGGTTCATAGCTTAGTGTTAGAGCTCTGGCTTTGTATTTATTTGCAAAGCCTTGCACCAAAAAAAAAAAAAAGGGCAAGGAAACTATTACCCTAAGGGAGTCCTCCAGGAACTATTTGTCAAAGACAAGATGTGCCGCTTACAATTTCTTCTGGGCTTCTTTGCTTCTAGGGAGCACTTGGCAGGAGAAAGTATCTGACATCCGAAGTCAGATGCAGAAGCATAGCATAGCTCCAACTGCTGTTCTTCTGTCAGCGCTTGATGAGACAGCCTGTGAGTCTGGATTTGTGGACATGGATGTACATAAGGTCCTTGAGCCCTATGGCACAGAGCCCTTCCCCCAGATACCCATGTGCCCACTAGTGGCCTATGGGACCTCAGGGAAAACAGATCAGAAGCTCATGTCTACAGAGTAAGGAGGCTGAGCGAGCTGGGGTGAGCCACAAGCCATGGGATGAATGGACTGACCCAAGCAGCGGAATACTTCTGTCTACTTAAGGGAAAGATCAGGGATTTCTGCCCAATCTCTATGGCTAGACTTCAGTCATTCTAAGGGCCATGAAAGCTATGTCTTAACTGCTTTGTATCTGCATTACTGTGGTGGATAAAAGGTATTTAATCTCCCTCAGCATCTCAAAGACCCTCAAAACAGGCCTGAATTTCAGTCCCTATAATTCTTTTCCCAGGGCTTTTCAACCTTCGCAGCCGTGACATCCCCTTCAACCCCTTCTTCTATTCCTACACTCTGCTCACAAACTCTTCCATCAGGTATGGCTTTTCCTTAGCTAGCAGTCTTGAATTTCCTTCAACTTCTACCTTCTCTTTGTCCCCAATATCCAGCCTTCAGGCTGCCCAGAGCCTGCTGTAACAGGATCCCCACCCTGGGAAACCTCCTGTTGGAAATTCATAACCCCTCCTTCTCTGCTTCTAACAAATCTCAATGTGGTCTGCTTGGCTCCCAATGCTATGCTGGCTTCCTCTTCCTCTGACCTTTAGGAACAAAGAGTCTGCATATGTGCCTGTAGGTTTTTCTGTTATCTTTAGCAGATACTGGGGATACTGCCCAGCTTTTTCTCTACCCAGGTTATTTGCAAACAAGAGCCGTTTTAGTCCTGAGACCCTGCAGTACCTGAACTCAAATTGCACAGAATCCATGTGTGTGCAAATTGAGGACTACAGTCAAGTTCGAGACAGTGTCCAGGCCTACACCGTAGGAAATGTGAAGGTCTGGATTGGGACCAAATATACCACACATGGGCTTTATGAAGTGATACCCAAGGTGAGTTTGCCAGGTAACTTCCACTATTCCAGATCCAGTAAGTGTTGAGTTAAAATGGAGCCAAAGCCCTCAGTCATTCCATCATCTGGTTAGTCAACAAATGTCTGTGTATTCCCTTCTAGGCTCCCCTAGGAAGAGAGCAGAAAGTTCTCTGCCCATGGAGAGTTCATATAGTTGTGGAAGAGGTTAGAAACAATATAGCCTGGTCTAATCAAGCAGAAATTTTAGACACAGGTCAACATGACATTGAACCCAACTCTATTCCTGACTGTGCAATGACTTGGGATAAGCAGTTTAGCCAACCTCGGTATTTGTTTCTTCACCTGTAAGAGTCCTGACCTTATAGGAGGAGTTACTCTGAGATTTAAACGAGATAGTATCAATGCAGCCCAATGGCCAATACCTGGTAGGTGTTCAGTAAATGGTAATGAATGCTATGATATATACAGGAAACTCACACTGTTAAAACAGCTCTTGGATGCCACAGGCAAGGCTGGCTCTGAGCTATGCCAGAGTTCTGTAGGGAATGAACTGCCAACAAGCCTGCTCATTATAGAAGCCTTTCTGGAGGGAGGGAGGGTGAGTGAGTGGGTCGCATGCCTAGGCAAGATCTGCATAGCCAGAGAGTGTCTAAAGGAGAGGTCATTGCTCTGAAGAAGTAGTAAGCCTCACTTTATTTGGTACTCAAGGCCTCATACTTGCTAAAGAGGAGCTTTGCCACAGATATATCTCCAGCCCTGGTTTATGCTGGCTATTTTTGAGATACAGTCTTACTTTCTGCCAGGCATACCCTTGGACCATGATTCACATATTTTAGGATTCCCATCCTAGCTTGGATGAGAGGCACATACCACATGTCCATATTTCCTTCCATTGGGAAAGCCTGGGCTTTCCTGGAACTGTGATCCTCTTAACCTCAACCTCTCACATAGCTTAGGATGATAAGTATGTGCCCCTGGGCCCAGCTATGGGTTGAAAAGGGATTTTGCAATTTTTTCTGTCCCAGTTGGCCTTGAACCATGAGATCTTCCCATTCTTAGCCTCCCAAGAAGCTAGGATAATAGGTGTGAACCACCAGTGCCTAGCCCTGCTGGTCCTTTGGAAATATCACTGTGCCCTGGAGGGTACTCCTAGTCTTCCTCTGCTTCTTTGATCCCAACAGGAGAAAGTCCAGACAGATGACTACTCCCCAGTGATGATGGCCAAGGCAATGAAGAACAGCAAGGAGCAGACCCTCCTCAAGTCCAGCCATGTAAGTTCACTTCTGATGTTAATTGGCCCTTTGGAGCTTTTGGTATGAAGAGTTAGAAAGGGAAGCTTGGCAGAGGAACATGAAGAAGACATTCAATGAAACAAAGAAGCAGACACCAAACTCCTGGGTGTAGGTTTGGGGCCAGGCATCAACTCCACATTCTACGTAGACCTTGGGCAAGTTATTTCACTTTTCTGGACTTTAGTATCCTATGTAAAATGGGGATCAAAATACTAATCAGAGGAATATGGAAGGAGATGATAATGGGGGTGAAGAAAAAGAAAATGCATTACGTATTTTATATACACCCTACATGCGTATATATAATATACACATACAATGTACCCTGATCAAACTCACCCCCTCCATCTTACTCCCACTTGCCCTCCTCCCTTTCTAAAACAATTTCAACAAGTTTCATTGTTCTATTTTCAAACATGTTTCTAAAGTACTTTGACCATATTCACCCTCATCCCCCTTTCCATTTCCTCTCCCCCCTTTCTCTGATACTTGCCACCCAAGAGCCTGGTTTGTTTTCCTGACATTTATTTCTTTTCATTTTTAGCATACATTAAAATAGGAATTTTAACTGGGCATGGTGGTTTGTACCTGTCATCCTAGCACTCAGGAGGTTGAGGCAGGAAGATTTCAATTTCAAGGCCAACCTGGGTTACATAGCAAGGCTTTGTCTCAGAAAAAGTAATCTTACAGCATATGGTTATTGTGAAAGACTCAGTAAAATATATATTGCTTTGAGCACATTCTAAGTGTTAAATAAGTGTTAGCCATAATGATTTCCTTACCCTAGCAAGAGGGATGCCTCACTTTTGGGAAATAGTCTTGGTAAAATTAGGATAAACTATTTCATATTGAAAAACTTGTTCTTAGGGGAAATTTTAAACACATGCTATGGTAGAGAAAAATAGCATAACGATCCCTTGTGTCCCCTATTACCCAGCTTCAGTAACCAAGGCATAGTTTCATCTATAAACCCACTTCCGTGCCCTCCACTCCCACTCCCGCTGCTAGATTATTTTAAAGCAAATTCCGGCTATCATATCATTCTGGCTGTCAACACTTCAGTAAGTATCTCTAAAGATAAGAATGCTTTTATTAAAAAAACACAGGCACGCTATAATCAGATATAAACACAAATGGGAATCCTTTGATATCAAATAACCAGTCATCCTAGTTTTTATGACACCAAATTCCAGAGTAGCTATGGGATCTTCTTCTAGAGTCTGTGACTTCTGCTCTGGCCACACCTCCACTGCTTCTCTGCTTCCTGCTCCAGGTGCGGGATGCTGTGGCTGTGATTCGGTACTTGGTGTGGCTGGAGAAGAACGTGCCAAAAGGCACTGTGGATGAGTTCTCTGGGGCACAGCTCTTGGACAAGTTTCGAGGGTAAGAGAATGATTATCTTTTGCAGTGGGGGTGGGGCAGCGAGGGGTAATTAGTCCCCTTACTTAGGAGAAAGATCATCCTTGTATTTGGAAGTCAGATTGAATTTCTTGGGTGGTCTGGGAGCTGTGCTGGAGGTGTTTGGATGACATTCTCCGACCCCACAGAAAAGCGGGACAACTCATCAGCACCCTCTAGCGTGTGCTTCAGACACAGTTCAGTCTCCCTAGGGGAGGCTGACTTTGGCCCGCAGTCCTGGACTAGAACATTTCCAGAAGGTAGATGGGTACAGTGGGTGTTCACAATCTGTCCACTGTTTCTGAATTCTGTACAGTGACAGGACAGAGCTGGCAAAGAAGGAGGCAGGAGGTGGAGCTTGGAGAGACAAATGGAGTCAGGCTGAGGTGAAGACAGTTGTGGCCCTCATGTGTTCTTGTGGGAATCCAGGATATAGCCTAGTCCCCAGGCCCATTCATTCACCATTCTTTGCTTTGCATGTCCAGAGAAGAAGACTTTTCCTCTGGACCCAGTTTCCAAACCATTTCTGCGAGTGGCCTGAATGCTGCCCTAGCCCACTACAGGTATTTCAGGACAAAGAGTTTTCTAGGGTTCGGGTTGTAATGGCTGTAGTTGTGGGTACAGGGGTGGGAGGGGGGATGCACTGGGCCCCGAGTCACATTTAGGGTTTGAGTCCCTCAGCTTCTGAGCACTGTGAGGGCTAAGGGGAGGAGCTTAGTCTAGGACTGGGACTGTCCTTGAAACAAGAAGTCTTAGTGATCTTCCCTACAAGATGCTGGGACTTAGTTTTATTAGTCAATTCTCAAGGCCTTGCAATTTCTAGGCTGGCAATCTATTACTTGAATTATGTCCCCTGCCCTTTTGCCTTATTTTCTAATAGGGTCTCACATTTATGCCCAGAGTGACTGGATTATGATAGTCCTAATCTTTGCCTTCAAAGTACTGAGCAATTGTGCCTAACTTATGTTAGACAATTCTTTTGTTGTTGTTGGTGGTGGTGGTCATGGGGCTTGAACTTAAGGCCTGGGCACTGTCTCTGAGGTTTTTTTTGGTCAAGGCTAGTACTCTACTACTTTGAGCTACAATTCCATTTCTGGTTTTGTGAGTATTAATTGGAGATAAGAGTCTCACAGACTTTCCTGACCCAGCCAGCTTCGAACCATGATCCTCAGATCTCAGCCTCTTGAATAGCTAGGATTATGTGAGCCACCAGTGCCTGGCAGTTAGCCAATTCTTAAAGTTCATAAGCACTTACAGAGAAACATCTTTTCACTCAGTCTGACCAATAATGGTGAATCCAAGATACAAGCTAGCCAGATACTTGGCCCCATAGAAAACAAATCACTGTAAGTTTGCTTAATAAATTTTGGAGTGCCAAACTGGCCAGATGCCTTACCCTGGCATGGGCATAGCAGGAAATGGTGGATGCCCCATCGATGAAAAACCTTATCTTTAGAACTCCCACCCTGGTTGATCCTAATGCCTCTCAAGCCTTCAGCTACTCTGTCCTGACCCCTTCTCCCTAGAAGAGCTAGAGAATAGCAGAGTAAGGACTTCTCAGCCCTCTAATCTTTTGCTCAGGCTCACCCTTGGGGTCCCTGCTATTTGGTGAGGGGGCTCTGTTTTCAAATACATCAGGAAGATAGACAAAGAGTGCTAGAGGGACCATCCAAACCCAAACCAAGCTCTGCTCTGTTTCCTTCATGACCTCATTCAGGCTTTTTTGCCTCTGTGGGCCAGTATCTCCCTATGTTAAGAGAATGGGTGAACTAGGTGGTCTTTAAAATTTTCCTAGTACCCTCCACATCCTGGGCGCATTTCTTCCTCCTTCCCATAAGGACCAAGGCCTTGTTCCCTTGTTCAGCCAAGTGCAAGATAAACAAAAGTGTGCTCAGGACAGCAGCAATGGAAGCTGAGTATTTTCCCAGGGCCCAGTGGGAAGACTTCCACTCATTTCCCTCAACAGAAGAGCCTGAAAACCCAGTCCTGAGGGAGGAGGGAGTTCCTCTGCTTTCACTCAGCACCCCCCCGCACCTCCCCCCGCGCTCCCACCCACCCACCATGCTAGGCTACTCCCTTTAGTGTTCTCTCCCATTCTCAGCCCAACCCAGGAGCTGCATCGCAAGCTGTCCTCAGATGAAATGTACCTGGTGGATTCTGGGGGACAATACTGGTATGTACCCTATTCCCCGACTGACTGCCAAAAGTCTGTCAAAGCTTTCCTTTCCTGAGCTATGAGCTCTCCATCTGAGAAAGGACAGGCCTGAATTGAACAAACCCTGAGCAGCTTTCTCATTTTCCCATTTGGAGGTCCCTGCATACGCACAGTGGAATAATGGAGGAGGGGAGCACGCAGCTCCTTTGTGAGAATTAGGAAAAGACATCCTTTGCTCAAGTAAAAATTTTTTTGTTTGGTTTGTTTGTTTGCTTAGTTTTGTTTGTGACAGCACTGAGGCTTACATTTAGAGCCTTGTACTCTTTCTGGGGTCTCCCTACCATCAACACTCCCCCCATATATACTCTACTCATGTACTTATGGTGGGTGTTCTGTCACTTGAGCCACACCTCTACCTTTTTGCTGACTAGTTGGAGATAGAGTCTCATGGATTTGTTTGTTGCAGCTGGCTTTGAATCTCGATCAGTCCTCAGATCTTAGCCTCCTGAATAGCTAAGATTCTAGGCATGGGCCAGTGACACCTGGCAAAAATATTTTTTAAACAAATCTGCAAATTATTACACTGTTTTGCCTGGCTGCACAGACACATCCATATTCTCACCTACTCCTGCAGGCCCTGGATATGGCCCATTACCACCAGGTAGCATGCATACTCCTCAGCCACCCCCTCCCCCTATAGCATATATGAGATGACAATGTCAGGTTGGGGATGGGGACAGGTGAGAGAAGCAACCCTTGAGATGTGTTTCCCTTGTACAGTGTACAACCCAAACAGTCACACGTGACACTCGTGCTGAATAGGCTAACCTATCCCTTTCAAATGTATGACGAGTCATTCACAACTGTGCCAAACTGAAAGGGGAGCACAGAGTGATTTCAAAAGATTTGCCTGTTTCTCCCCTGTGGAAATGGTGAATGTGCTCAGAGCAGAGGCTATTCTTTTGTCCTTAGAACAGCTTTCAGCTTTCAGGAGCCAATGTGGCAGGTACTCAACTTAGTATCCATCTACTTGAGCAGTCCCTGGTTCCTGCTGCCTGTACTAGAGATGGCTGATATGCAAAGGGGAAATGAATTTTTATGAGCATTGTTGGGTTCAGGCATGTTCAAAGTGAAGAGGTGGAGAATGGTCACCTTACTTCCTCTTTTCTCCTTCTAAGAAAGAATTTTGCCATTCCCCATGTCCGACTTCCCAAAGAGGAGTTCGCAGGCCAGGAACAATTTCCCCCTCCCTTCCTCCCTTCCGCTTCCCAAAGGGTTACAGGAGGCATGTAGGGGAACAGCTAGGAGTAATGGTTCTAACTCTTACTTTGCCGCACTGGGACTCTGAACAAAACACTGGGTCAGCCCCATGCTCTCAGTGGAGAGGTTTCAGTTGTGTTATCTGTGAAATGGGCATCAAGAGACCTGTTCTGTCATGCTTCCTGGGGAGCTTATCCATGGTAAATGCTGAGAACATTGGGGTGTTGTGATAGTGCTCTCTTTCAGACCTCTAGTCGCCCATCTATAAAAGGGAGATGATCCTCTGTTTCCAAGCCTGGAAGAAGCCTTTCTGACCCAAGGAAACCCAGAGCTATGAAATCACCCAGTTGGGGAATATAGGGGAGGATGGGGAGGGGGTCCCTGATTGTCAAAAGAACACTTCAACTTGAGGGCTCTGCAGAGCCTCTTCTATGCACGGACGTTGAAGGTGTGATTTTGATGATCAGACCTGCCTTCCTTTGACCTCCAACTTGGCCCTAACCCAACACTGTTGCTGGAACCCTAGCAGAAAATACAGAAAGCACATGGTCCTGGTCCTTTTAAGTGTCCAGCAGAGTTGGGTGATTTGGTTTTCCTTTTCCACAGGGATGGAACCACAGACATCACCAGAACAATTCACTGGGGCACCCCCTCCACCTTCCAAAAGGTAAGGGGCTGGGTCAAAGATCTCCTGCCACCTTCCTCTAATGCCCCCCCCAAAACCAATCATTCCAAGAGCCCTTTCATTTGAGAGGGTAAAACTGAGGCACAGAGAAGTTGACAAGTTCTTACCAGAAATCCCAGCATTCTCTGCTACTCCAGAGAGATTTTAAACCACCAGCAAGGCCTCAGGCCAGGCTAGTCCTTATCCCATTGTGGAATGTCAGTGCACAAACATTACTTTTTTTGCTGTGTGTGTATCTGGCCTACACTTAACCGAAAGGAGGGAGAGGGGATTCCAAGTTGAGGAAAATGCTTAGGTAAGGCCCCGGTGCAAATGAACTGGAAGTGATCAGAAAACCCTGAGGGCTGCTCATCCAAGGAAGAGCCTGGGGCATTGTCTCTGTGCTCGGTAGAGAGGTGGCTTGGGACAAAACATGGAGCTGAAATCCATGCATTTGGCTGGTAAGCATATGGTGAGTCAGAGCTTGTGCTAGAAACAAGAGTAGGGGAAAACTGTACAGACCACCAGGAGCTTCACAATCTGGCAAATTGAGTTCACTGCCTCAGGATATGGGATCCCAAACCTGTGCAATTGTGAGTTGATGGGGCTTGACTACATCACCAGCAACCTGCAATGATCAGGAGAGACCACCATCAGCCTACCCGCTTTCTCTAACAGAGGAAGAGTGGCATGCCAAATAATCAGGTCCAACTCTAACTTCAGGTCTTAAAAACAAAAGAATGGTCAAGTAGGAGCCTAATAGTAAGAGTACTAGGTTTTGCTTGAGCATGTACTCACCGTATAACATTCATTATAAGTCCTCCTGCTCCTGTCTCACAACTTTAGGCACTAGGTCTTTTTAGCTCCTATTACAGATGAAGAAACCAAGGCATGGAGAGGTGAAAGTCAATAGTCCAAGGTCTCAGAGTTTGAATAGCCAAGCTAAAATTCCAGCCCAGAGAATCTGCCTGCCACTGCTATTGTCACCATCTGCTACAAGTATGTCCTCAGTTCTCTACACATTATGACTCCCATGGACCAACCAAAGGGGACCACATGGACTAAGACTGAGATGTAGGAACCTCCCCCTTAACCTCCTTTGGCCATCTTCTAGAACTTGAGTGACCACATATAAGAACATATTTTCCCTTCCCCCTCCCCTATAGACCTAAGACCTACACTCGTGTCCCTTCAGGTCAAACAGCCAAATGCTCCGCAGCTTCATGTCTTGTCCTTCACTTCACCTCTTCCTCTCCCTACCAGGAGGCATATACCCGTGTGTTGATGGGAAACATGGATCTGTTTAGACTTGTCTTTCCTGCTGGGACATCAGGTGGGTTTCAAAGGCCAGGATGGACCCAAAGCCTTGGGCCTTAATTTCATGGCATCCAGACCATTGCCCCAGGAACCTAGAAAGGGCAAGAGTTATGTCACCTTCCTCTCTTTCCTATGGATGAGAAAATGGAATCAAGTATTATTTCTAGTCTAGAACTGACTTCCTCACAAAAGGATAGTAGGAAAGCCAGGCATTGTTCTCAGGTCCCCTGCTGCCTGTGCTAGCCAATGCTGTCTCTCAGAGGTGCAGGACTGCTACTGTGGGCTGCAGCAGTCACGAAAGAATCCTGAAGGAAGTAGGTGTCAAAGCACTAGGTCCTAATGCATGGAAAGAAATTGTAATAGAGCCATTCAGACAATGTATGCAACGTGCAATGTGCTGGAGCTAGTGAATGGCTGGGCTAGCCAGAGAGCCACTGGCTTCAATCCATCAGCCCCTTTCCATCCCACTTCAATATCACTGTGTCTTCTCAGGAACCCCTCTCCTTAGGTACTACCCTGGTAGTTGAGCAGGAAGGGCCAAGGTAGACAATCTTGGTCCAACTAACTAACTGGGGTGATCTCTTTTCCCTTCCAGGGAGAATGGTGGAAGCATTTGCCCGCAAAGCCTTGTGGAGTATTGGGCTCAATTATGGTCATGGGACAGGCCATGGCATTGGCAATTTCCTGTGTGTACATGAATGTAGGTATTTTTTCAGCCCCTGCCCCAGGATTCCTGCCTTTGTCTGACATCCCTGCACTCTCCTATGAAAGAGAAAAAGAGCATTTAACAGGTACAGAAATAACCAACCACATGCACAGAGGAGCATGACTTACTCAAGGCTACCCAGCTGGTGGAAAATAGTGTTCCATAGGGTCAGTAAAGAATGCCGGCAGCTAGCAAATCTTCTTGCCTGCTTGGCATCCAGGAGAGCACAAGACAGACGATCAAGACCCCAGAGAAAGCAAAGCCATAGCATATCATATGTGTGCAAATGCTTGTAGAAATCCTGTGTGACCCTCCAGTTACCTGCTCTTTCCCAGAATCTGCTCATTTCCAAGCTGGTGGGCACAGGAGAGCTGACAACATGCCTTTATCTTCCTCTCCAGGGCCAGTGGGATTCCAATCTGACAACATTCCTATGGCCAAGGGCATGTTCACATCCATTGGTATGATTCTTGGGCTCCTCCCCACTACTATGCCATACCAGAGCAGGACTAGCTGGTGATAGCAGTCTTGTTCCACCTTCAGAGATCATTCTAGGCACAGCCACAGTCCCTGTTCCACCAACGTATTCTTCACCTTCCTACTCCCATCTCTGCCCTAGCCCCAAATGGCTTGTCCCACCCTTACTCTCACCCTCCTTGGCCCATGCTCTCTTTTTATCCTTGGATCTTGGTTCCCAGCTAGTATATATCTAGATTGTGGAGTTGCCAATCAAATATCCTGGGATAACAGTACAGTGGCACACAGGGCAATGGGAGTATCTCCAAGACCCAAATGACACTTCAGTCCTCCCTGCTGCACTGCAAGGGAGGGAAGGTGAAGCAGACTTGTGCCTGGAGGAGATCTGAGGCCTGACAGATTGTCTGTGCTTTGCCAATGAGCATCTAACAAGTTGTGGGGCTGAAAGAGCCAACAAGCCACAGGCAGCCAGGCAACTGGGTCCTCCAACTACTTGGATTGGTCCAGGAAGTTTCGCCTGCTTAGTGCCATTAGCATCTGTATCTCCCAGAACCTGGCTACTATCAGGATGGAGAATTTGGGATTCGTCTTGAAGATGTGGCCCTTGTGGTGGAAGCAAAGACCAAGGTAAAGTGCCATGGACTGGAGGTGTTGGTAGTATGGCAGTGATGTTGGACTGCATGGCATGAGGGAGGCCAAAGGAGAAGGCATTTCATGTGTGAGCATGAATTTTAGAGTCTTCCTTAACTCCATAAAAATTCCATAAATCAGTTTTCTCAAACTGCAAGTTAAAATCATCTGGGAAGCTTTGTTTTCTAAATACCAATGCAATCCCTCACTCAACCAAGAGAATCAATGTCCCTCCCCTAAATCTTATTCCCTAAGGCACATAATAATCACCAGGGGAGCTTGTTAGAGATAAATGTTTGAAAGCCCTGGTACCTGTAATGCTAGTTACTTAGGAGGCTGGGATCTGAGGATTGTGGTTTGAAACCATCCCAGGCAGGAAACTGTGAGACTCTTATTTCTGCTTGACCACCAGAAAGTCAGAAGTGGGGCTGTGGCTCAAGTGGTAGAGTGCTAGACTTGAGTAAAAAGAGCTCAGGAACAATGCCCAGACCCTGAGTTCAAGCCCCAAGACCGGCCTATAAAAAAGAAACAAAATATAGCAACTAACAAGATGAAATACCGATATATAAACTTTAAAAGACTTACATGGACAAACTCTCTGCTAAGGGGTATAAAAAAGATTTAAGTAAATGGTGCTGTCTGGGAAGAAGCCTCTTGATTATGAAGATTTCATTTCTCCCTAAATTACTCTATAAATTCAAGACAACCTCAATATCAATGTTAAATGGATACTTTTATAACTTCTCAAAATGCCAGTGATTTTTTTGTAAAAAACAATAGGCAAAGACAGCTAGCTAGGTAGCTAGGAAAATTCTGAAACAGGAGTAGTAAGGGAAACTAACCCTTTTAGATTTTAGCATAAATTACTACATAAAAACAGAGTAACACTGGACATGAAATACACAGCAGGAATAATGCAACAGAATAAACTACCCCAAAGTACACCCTCTAATTACCATAAGCAACGTGGGAATTTGTACCTAATAAAGCTGCTATTTCACAAGGCATCAGTGGCTCACCTCTATAATCCTAGCTACTCAGGAGTCTGATATCTGAGATCTTAGTTCAAAGCCAGCCCAGTCAGGAAAGTTTGTGAGACTCATCTCAAAGGAACCACCAAATAGCCAGAAATGGAATAGTGACTTAAGTGCTAGAGCTCCAGCCTTGAGCAAAAAAAGCCAAGCCAGGAGCATAAGGTCCTGATTTCAAGCCCAGTACAAGCGCAAGGACACACACACACACACACACACACACACACAAGATTCATACATATGTGGAAAGATATTCAACTTCATCCTTACACACACACACACAAGATTCATACCTATGTGGAAAGATATTCAACTTCATCCTTAAAAGAATAAGCCAAAACAAGAGAATACCATGTTTCACATAACAAATTACCAAAATTAAGAGGCTTTGATAATACTAGGTGCTGGCAAGTATATGGTGAAATGAGCACTGTCATTTACTGTTGGGAGAAGTACAAATTGGTACAAACTTTCTGGATAGCAATTTGATAATATCTGTTTTTTTTAAAGTTATTAAAAATCCTTGTGCCTAACTGGCCATCAGTAGCTCATGCCTATAATTCTACCTACTTAAAAGATCTGAGGGTCACAATAAATGGGAGGAAGGTACAGAGAAGAGGATATGGTAGGATCCATTTTGGTGAATTTTTTTTTTTGCTATTTTAAGACGTTCTTTCTAGAGCAATTTTAAATTCACAGAAAATTAAGAAGTAAATGTTTAAATATAGCGATATATTTTCTGCATAAGTCTGAAATATTTCCAGGAAGGAAACTGTGTCGTTTTAGTTTCCAAAAACATACATGCAAGGACTTTCTGGAAGATGGAAATCTTTTTCCATGTCTCTAGAGATAGGTGAAATAGTAAATACATACAGGAATGAATAGATAGATAGGTAATAGAGAGCAGAGAATTTTTTTTGTCAGTCTTGGAGCTTGAACTCTGGGCCTGGGTACTGTCCTTCAACTCTTCAGCTTGAAGCGAACACTCTACCACTTGAGCCACAGTGCTACTTCCAGGTTTTCTGGTGGTTAATTGGAGATAAGAGTCTCATGAACTTTCCTGCCCAGGCTGGTTTTGAGCCTCAGTCCTCAGATCTCAGCCTCCTAAGTAGCTAGGATTACAGTCATGAGCCACCAGCACCTGGCAGAGAAATTTTTATTTTTAGTGCTGGTCCTGGGGCTTGAACTCAGGGCCTTAGCTGTGTTCCTGAGCTTCTTTTGTTCAAGACTAGTGCTCTACCCCTTGAGTGACAGCTCTACTTCTGACTTTTTGATAGTTTATTGGAGATAAGAGTCTCACAGACTTTCCTACCCAGGCTGGTTTTGAACTGTGATCTTCAGATTTCAAACTCCTGAGTAGCTAGGATTACAGGCATGAGCCATCAGCACCCAGCTAAACAATTTTTTAAAAATGTGTTGTTATTATAAAGGTGATGTACAAAGAAGTTAACAAATACGTAAGTCAGGTAGAAAGTACATTTCTTTTTGGACAATGTCACCTCTTCCCTTGCTCTCTCTCAGTAACAATTTCTTTTTAAATATAAATTCTAAGTTCCTACCCTAGAATTCTGCCTCTAGTAGATCTGGAAGGCAGGCCCTGACATCTGTACATTTAACATACTTTCCAAATGCTATTGATATGTACATTCTGAGAAACAGACCTAAGTACAACTTTCAAGAATGCAGAGGGGAGCAGAAAGATGAGTGATAGATAAGAGGCTTGGCCAAGGGAAGAGACTCAGAAACGATCAGGCCTAACCTGAAGTGTCCAGAGTGGACAAGACTGTGTCCATGACTTCTGGGTAGAGTGCACCTTCCTCCTTCAGCCTAGCTCTTCTACTCCCTCACTTTCCTGCTCCCCATCCTTCCCTGTGGGCTCTTTAGTATCCAGGATCCTACCTGACCTTTGAAGTGGTGTCCTTTGTGCCCTATGACCGGAACCTCATCGATGTCAGCCTGCTGTCCCCTGATCAGGTAAGTGCCTCTTCTCTATTGCCTACTCTTCAGCTTATGAACCAATGCCTTCTTCCCTGCCCTGGGCCTTTCCTGCTTCTACTCGCCCTATTCCAAGACCATCTGTCCTTGCTTTCTCCAGGAGGGTCCATACAAGTGGCACTGCAGGCCCTAGAGTATATCTTCCCAGCTTACCAGAAATCTCAAAGTTTCTGGAATTTTGTAGTTAGACCAGCCTTCCCAACCTCAGATAGTAAACCCCTCGGAAGTCTGAGGCTGGACTTCTGAGCAGTGCCACTGGAAGATCTGGAACTGTAAGCAATTCCTTCCCCTCTGTGGGCCTCAGTCAAATGGGATTCCTGCCCTGGTTATTTACCCCCATTCCCATGAGCATCATTGTTAACATAAGCATCCATTATGGGGACCTGCTCTGGGAAGCCCCAGAGAATACAAGAGGCCCAAATGTGGCTGGGTACTTGGTCCAAAGTAAGCATTTACAATATCACAGTAGGGGCCTGGATGATACCAATATATAAGTTACCAAGGCCTCGATCTTGGGCAGCTAGCTCAAACTCTGCTCCCTTTGCAGCTCCAGTACCTGAATCACTACCACCAGACCATCCTGGAGAAGGTGGGCCCAGAGCTACAGCGTCGCCAACTGCTGGAGGAGTTGGCATGGCTACAGCGGCACACAGAACCCTTGTCTGCCAGGGCCTCAAGCACAGCCTCCTTGGCCTCTGTGTGGGTTGCCTCTACTCTTGCCGTTCTTTGCTGGAATAGCTAGCAACTCCCAATTCCTCTGCTGATCCCCCACCCACATGTGGGCTCAAAGCTCCCCTCAGCCTCCTTCAGGACCAAACCCCAAGCAATGCTTTCCCCTCTTCCAAGGCCTATACACCTCACCCTAGATTCCCAGTCCAACTTCCCAGGACAATAGAGCTCACTGGTCATCCCCTGCTCCCCCTGCTACAGCTGCTCCTCCTATGCCAAATAAAAGAACCAAAGCCAGTGCCCCTACTCTTAGGGCCCCATGGCCCAGGAAGAGTCCTACTCTATCATCCCTCTGCTGGAGATGGATGGCCAGAGCATTTCCATCCATACTGGCTCCTGATTTGGTGGTATTCCCACATCCTAAAGGCTGCCTATGGCCAATCCCAGTGTCCCCAGCCCTATAATGACTTCCTGGTTACAGCCCATAGGGCTTGAAGGAACTAGGTTTTCTCCAGATTGCCTGCTGTACCTATAGAGGGAGGGTGGATGAATCTTCTGGTTGCAGACTTCCATCCTAGGATTGAAAACAGATTAGCAGGGGGTAGGTTAGGTCTGGAGCCAGAGATCATCCAGAGACATGCACTAGCCCATTGCTCACATGTGAGTTCCTAACCCTGAGTGTGCCCCATGCTGAGGGAAAGCATGAAGAGTTAGGGTGCAAGAATTTGGCTATGGGCTAGGAATAGATTGTGGCAAGGCATTTTGAAATTTAGGGAGCAATTGAGGCAACTACATGTAGTCACTATTACAAAGCTTTCCTGACATCCAAGGTGTCCTTGGAGTACAGCCATGGTGCCAATGTTATTAAATCTTCCCAAGTCCTTACATGGCCCCATTTCACAGACAGGAAAACTGAGGTCCAAGTAGGGAGTGGGCCTTCCCAAGGATACACAACACTTTGTTGGGAGGTAGAGGGGCAGATGGACCAACACTCCAGCTCCTTTTCCCTTCAGCACCATGCTGAATCTCTTACCTACCTCCTAGGCCCCTCATCCACTGAGCCTACTGTTGGGAGAGAAGAGTTTTCTCTAGTCTTGGCGGTTAGCCACCTGGCCTCACATCCTGCTAGATGCTTAAATCAGCCTTGTGAAGACTCCTGCCTCTGGTTTTGTATTGTGTTTGCTGTTGCTGTGTTACCAGAGGTTGCTGTTACCTGTGGCTTTTGTGGTAGGGGAGGCAGAGAAGAGGCTAAGGTGGGGGATGGGGATGTGAAGCTCTCAGCAGCTCAGTAGGGGAGCGCAAGGGCTTGAGAATGTGCATGTGCGCATGTGTATTTGTGTGCATGTGTTCCCACTCATGAGCATGCACTCCATGCCCATCCAGCCACCTCCATCCTGTGTTAAGTGATAGACTCTTGTGGAGGGAACACAGGGAAACCACATATTAGGAAAGTTGGTAAAGATCATCTATAAAAGTTTGAGCCAGCACTTGTGGCCCAGGAGAGCACAAATAAGGTAGGAGGAGATGAGAACCAAGGTTCTGGGGACAAGGTGATAGGTTAAAGAAAGTCACCAGGCCCGGAAGTTTCCCAAGGCTAGGTCAACCAGGCCTAATGTGCTGTGTGTGAAGATGGCCTATGACAGCTACCACATCCGAGGCTCCAGCCCTGACCTATCTCCACTAAGGAACCTGTGGCACCCATTGGTGGGCCTGTTTGCTCTCTTACCTGCTCACCCCACAGACAGGTACACTAATAAAATTCGTCATCATTTGCCACATCATGATTACATACCATTGTTCAGAAAGCTCTGCAACCTCTCATGTAGTCGAAGGCTCACACTGGAGGTGGCCATTTAAGCCAGAGGCATCTGTATTCCCCCCTTTCCTAGCTCCAAAACCAGGACCCCACCTGGTCACAACTCACAATTCAGCTGCCCTTTCCAACCCACCATCTTGGGATTGAGATCTTCCACCCAAGAAGCATGGTTTCAGAGTGGGTAGCAGCCAGCCCACATTCTCCCTTCCCTGGATCCAAAGGGCTGACACTGACCATTCCTGCTTTAAGGGCCCCATTGTGAGTCACTGGGGAAATATTCAAGTCACAGCAGCTCTTGTGACATGACTTGAAAATGAAGATTCATAAAGGCCCATCCTGGGCTTGGATCTTTTTTTTTTTTTTTTTTTTGCTGGAGAATGGAGCTTACCAAATCTCTCCTGTCTGTTGATTATTTCTGTGGAGGAGACTATGTAGAAAATCCCCTTTTCCTAGTAATTAGGATTCAGGGGGTCTAGTTCCACTTGTACTGGCTGTGTGGCCTTGAGCAAGTCACTTCACCTGTCAGTTATCCATTCTGTAAACTACTCATACTGCCTTCCTATGAGGTTATGGAGAGAAGACCATGAGACCAAGATGTGGCAGTCTGTAGACCAGGAAACTGCACAGATAAAAGATAATACTAATGATTGATACAGCATGAGTTCAGCTATAGCTTCACCATTGGAGAAAAGATTGAGGACTCCAATTTATGTATAAATAGATAAAACTGAAAGGGTTGTGAAGCAAGTATCTCATTTGGATCTTTCTATCTACACTCCCTGAACCCAAGGTACTCAAAAAATGCCACAGGGGTATCACAAAAGCAAAGCTTGGGCTGGGAAGGTGTCTCAGTGGTAGAGTGCTTGCCTTGCATGCATGAGGCCCTGGGTTTGATTCCTCAGCACCACATAGGCAGAAAAAGCCAGAAGTGGCACTGTGGCTCAAGTGGTAGAGCGCTAGCCTTGAGCTGAAGAGCTGAGGGACAGCGCCCAGGCCCAGAGTTCAGGCCCCACGACCGGACCAAAAACAAAACAAACAAACAAACAAAAAACAGAAAGCAAAGCTTGACCCAAAGCAGCCTGTATGGGCTTCTAATATCATTAAACTTGAAGTAGATACTGAATCAGGTTTGGGAGTTTATTACCTGAGCAGTCACTCAGGCAGTTGGGCTTAGAGAGGCTCCAAGTTAGGTTTTTTTTTTTTGGGGTTGGGGGTCGTACGGAAGGTTCCCAGGGGCTTGAACTCATGTCCTGGACACTATCCTTCAGTTTTTTGCTCAAGACTAGTGTTCTACCACTTGAGTTACAGCTCCACTTCCAGCTTTTTGATAGTCTCCTGACTTTCCTGTCCTGGCTGGCTTTGAACCATGAGCCTCAGATCTCAGCCCTCTGAATAGCTAGGATTTCAGGCATGAGCCACCAGTGCTTACCCCAAGGTGAGTTTTAATATTTTCCTGTCACCTGGCTTGAAATTCTTTTTATTAGTGGGGGAGGATGTAGTTCTAAGATTTGAATGCAAGACTTCACACTTGCTAAGCAGGTACTCTACCATTCAAACCATGCCAGCATCATCTAGCCTGAAATCTTTGATCATTTTTTCTTTTTTTTTTTTTAGAGCATTTGTCTTTATTTTTTTTTATTATTTTTTGGGTCCGGTCGTGGGGCCTGAACTCTGGGCCTGGGCGCTGTCCCTCAGCTCTTCAGCTCAAGGCTAGTGCTCTACCACTTGAGCCACAGTGCCACTTCTGGCTTTTTTGTTTTTGCTAATGTGGTGCTGAGGAATTAAACCCAGGGCCTCAGGCATGCAAGGCAAGCGTTCTACCACTGAGCCACTTTCCCAGCCCTGATCATTTTTCTAAAGAGGACCTTACATTTCCATTTTGCACCAGGCCCCACAAATTCCATCTCCTGTCTATCTAAATAGTTGCTGAATGACCACAAAAACAACAAACATGCAATTCAAACCCCCTATATACAGATAGAGAAACCTCCATAACAGGCAAGATTGAAAAAAGGTCTTGTCCAAGTCCCATAGCCCATTGAAGCCGGAACCAGGGTTAAATCCACAACATCCTGCTTCAGCTCTGCAATGGCTCCTATATTACCTGTAACAAACAGGCCTAGGGAGGCCTGTTGTCATATCTATGACAACAATGGTGATGGTTTACATACCACCATACCCAGCTCTGAGCTACCTTTCTTGAGGCTTTCAATACTTTTGGGAATAGAAAATGGCATGGGAAAGATGATAAATACATATACAGAGAGAGTTTAAATAGTTCATTTTAAGATAACTAAATCAGTCCTCCATCATTTGAGCGCTAGGTGGCTCCAGCTTTTAAAAAAAATAAGTTAAGTCTTAGGAAGTGTCTGGACTGTCTACACTTCACCATCTAACCCACGTCAGCAATGCATTTTACCAAGTCATTGGGCACTTCCTCAAACCAATAGTTGGGCATTTTAGTGCTCAAAAAATAGAACTATGAAAGATGCAGTAGCAATTGCTTCCTCCCTGTCCATCCTTCCTCCAGTCCCCCACCCCAAGGCTCATGAGAGCTGGGAGTGGGAGGTACTCCCTGCCCCCTGAACTTCTACCCAGCCAGCCCTTGCTCTGAGACCCACCCAGCTCTTCACTTCCTTGTTTCTTTGTGAAACAGGAACTTAGCAAGCAGCTCCAGTGGGGTAGGATAGGTGGTTGAGACAGCCCCAATGGGCCGTGGCAAGGCTATAAGCTGAAAAGCTGGTTTCTCTCATAGTAAGTCTCAAGCAGCTTTAGGCCGTCCTCCTTGTCACATTTCCTGTGTTCTAGGGTTGTTTGGAGGGAAATTTGCCTTTGACAAAGTGGAGACAGACAGGATATAGGCCAAGAGAGTAGTGTGGCAGGCAGGACTCCTTCTGTGCATGTCATCTGAGTAGTGAACCTGGTCTCTATCACATATATACACACTATGTTCATATGATTATTGTCTTCACAAAAGCCCATCACAAGTTCTGTCACTTGCCCAAGGTCACTCAGCCAATCGGTGATCACAGGATAATTTGAATTGCGTTTGACTTGCCTTCTTTTCTGGGAACTCTTTAGCTTCTCTTCCTCTGTAGAGCCAAAAAGAACTGTCTTGTTGGGGCCAAGGACCCACTGCACAGAGACCTCAAAACCTTGGGACAGACTCATAGATCAAGCAAAAGCAACCCAACCCTGCCCCTCCCTGCAGATAGGCCCTCCAGTGAATCTTGACCATGTTTTGATATGAGCAGTAAAGTTCAGCCTACTCTTCTGAGGATAATTACCACAACTGCCTGCAGGTGCTTTTTGTTTTGTTTTGTTTTGTTTTGTTTTTGCTCTTTGAAAAGTTCAATAAAAGTCATTAAAATTGAGATCAATGTTAGTTATTTTCTTAAATAAGAACTATAAAATTATCGAAGTTAAAATTGCCAAGAGTTTTTAATCACCACATATATATATATATATATATACATATATATATATGTATAATTTTTGAGACATGCTCTCATTCTGT